GTATAATGAAGCAATCGCCCAATAGGGATAGCTGAGATGAAATGTGCAAACACGACAAACAATATTTAATGAAGTTGAGACAAAGGATTTGTGCATAATAAGGTACAGTTCAACATCAAACAAAGCTCTTCTATTCTGTGGTTTTGAAGACAGGCTAGCTTTCAGCCCATCATATAGGTTACATGTGCGATATTTTTCTGTGCCTTGTCTAGGCTTTGACTTCAGATACCTTCGGCCATCATTACAGAAAAAAAGAACAATATATACCTTGTAATAATTAATGACCGTCACTGACAAAAATGTGAAACAAAAAATACTTTCCAACCAACCTACCCCATTTTTTTCGAAACCAAAACTTGTTTAGGTTCAATATTGGTATATCGGTACGAGATTTCAGTCGCACACTTACACCGAATTTCCCACTATATGCAGTACCCGAATTTTTCAGTTACCGAAATGTCCGACATGCACAAAATCATCACTACTACAATGCAAATGTCGTGGTGACGCCATTGTACATCCGTGCTTACGTGCACTTGCATGGTGTAAGTAAACTCGCATGGTGCAGTAAGTAGAGACCCGCCAGATATTTTTCAAGAAGTTGCATGTCTCTCTCGCAATCAGCAGTTATCTTTCCTTTCTAATTAATGATCAAGTCCCACAGTATATTTCCCAGAAATATCAAAACCAGAAATTTCTTATATACCCAAAATTTAAAATTATTATAAATTTAAAGTGCACACATACAGGGTTAAACATACATACTTTGTATCAGCATCAGATTTATGCATCATTTCCATAATTTCTACCATATGCAAATCAATTTCTTGACCTGCCTGACGAATGGCTAGAACTGCATCAACAATGGCCTATAGTTTTAAATAGAAATCACGTTTCTGTTTGATACTGCATTCTTCTCGTAAACTGGAAAAACGCCCTTTCTAAACTTTTGGTCATCTAAATACATAAACTTTTGGTCATCTAAATACATAAACTTTTGGTCATCTAAATACATAAACTTTTGGTCATCTAAATACATAAACTTTTGGTCATCTAAATACATAAACTTTTGGTCATCTAAATACATAAACTTTTGGTCATCTAAATACATAAACTTTTGGTCATCTAAATACATAAACTTTTGGTCATCTAAATACATAAACTTTTGGGCATCTAAATACATAAACTTTTGGTCATCTAAATACATTGAAGCAGCGATTTCAGAGCAGCATTCTAGCCATGTCAAAGATGATTGATTTGTTGAACCAAACTAATAATATACAACGAATAGGGGGAGGTCTTCTAAATTTGTGATATTATTATGAAATTTTGTCAGAATTGGAAGTGGCACAGATGTTTTGTCCAGGATTGTATCGAGTAAAAATTATTTCGGATATAATATTTTTCATACATTTTTCATTCAAACATTTTATTTCTTTTATAGTATATGCCGTATTACTTTTTTCAGGGGGGTTACCCATCCCCAGCGACAGCCCTGCTTGACATCATGGATATGCAGCAGAGAGCAACAAAGTGCCTACCTCTGTCAATACATCAGCTAACTTAGAGTGTACTTTAGTTCTTAGCGATGTCTTTGCTACATTTATCAACGTATCTCTGTCCATTTCCCGCTTCACTTTTATTTCTTCCAGAACCTAAACATAATACAAACATTGCAATGATAGAACATGATTTACAAGTGCATGATGGGAACATAATAAATTACATTGTTCTATAGCTACAGGGTGTACACCAAACAGAATTGGTCATGTGGATGGGGGGCCCCTTTTGAGTTGGGGGCCCTATCCCAGTGGCCTTGCCTCTGGTTTATGTATGTTATATATTCCAAGCATATTTGAAACCTGTACTGTACCTCTAATGCTTTCACCTTTGCTAGATCAAATCCTTCTGTAACGATCCGAGGATGAAGACCCTGCAATCATCAAAAGAAATATAATCATAGTCTGAGTTTGGAAGTGTAATTGTTCCTAAATTCACACAATACTGAAATAAATAAAAGTCTAACCTCTGAAATATACAAATCAGCCTGTAAAATAGAAAACAAATGTTAATACGAAAATTCAATGTACTGTAAAAAGTGGAATTTCCACAGCGAGCAGCTATTAACAATTGCATCTCATATGTTGTCCTAAAAATACAAACAGCTTTTACTATGACCAATCATACTGTAATAAATTATGTAAATATTCTAAAACTCATTTTAACATTCATTATGCAAATTCCCCAGTACTATTTGACAATGAGCTTTATACCTCCTAAAATGTATGCTATTTAAAAGACATTCCCGCAGAACACAATATAATGCAGAACACAAAATAACACAGTACACCCTTCTGAAAAGTACTATATACAAACAGGGTGCGATATTTAGCAATAATTCACATACTTATAAATAATAATATAAAACATTTCTATAGTGCTATTTTTGGTGTGGAAGGGCAGTCTATAGGGAAATAGGTATTTCTGAATTCTTAGTGAAACATAAAAATAAACGATAAATTACACATACTTGTTTTAAAAGTTCACCTATTATCAAAACATTAGACGTCGTTCCATCACCAGTTATATCATCCTAAATTGTAAACAATTTCTCATATTAGTATGCAATTTTTGCCATGATTTCTAGTGCTTTTCATCTTCTGATGGTTTGTGAACAAGTAGATGAGTTATGAATGTTTTGAGTAATTTAACGAAATTGGGAAACTCGCAACATTCATGCCCAAGGCCAAACTAAGAAATGTCTATTACAATACATTTCTTAGCTTTGGTCTGAATTTCATTTTCCTTTGAGTGGCAGCCCTCACGAGGCATTAGACATAGAAAAATGATAAAGTATGGCATATCTGGGCACATTGTGAAAATACTAGGCTAGCTGAATGTAATTAAGAAAACAGCATATGACACCAAAATTGCAACCTCAGCCCCCCAAACCTTTGATAATGGCATGGATTTTGAAACACTAGCATTTAATAAAAATCAATAGTGATATTCAAAGTTTCAAGTATGCACAATAGGCAAGAAATTCCAGGACTTTCAAGGACCTGCACTAATTTTCAAGTATTTTTACACCTTGATTTTCAAATTCAAGGAATTTCGAGAATTTTCAAGGCCTGTGAGGACTAATAATCCTAAAATTGCACCAAATGTTTTGCAGGGCATGCTTTCATACCTGTGCAGTAGCAACTTTAGCAATCAACGAAGCTGTTGGATGTTGGATTTGCTGAAAGGTTACAAAATAAATTTTTGGTTTCTGTATAGGAAAAGGGCTTCTACACCTAGGCTACATTTAGATTACATTTATGGCTTTACTTTACGAATTTAATTGACAGCTTTCTCGCAGGGTTGTCACATTGATCGTCTCTGTTCTTCTTGGAATAACCCAAATCAGCACTTGGAAAAACTTGATATGACATTTAAATATACAAACATAAAGTGACACCAATAATACCACCAAATATAGATATTCCAATATTTTGAAAATTTTATATTGAATAATCAGTATTTATAAATTTAAACGATAAATTTTGGTATATTGATACAGGTCTACTAATCAGGCTTCTGAGAGCAAAAATATTATGCTAACAACTTACCATTTCATTTAAAAGTACATTACCATCTTTTGTTATCTTTATATCGCCAGATCCAGACACTAACCTAAATGTAGATTTAAATTAACAGTCAACAACTAGACAATTCATTAATACACAAAAATGGGTGGCCAACTCAAGAGACCAAATATAATTTTTGGTATGTGTAAAACTTGGATCATTCTACGAAAAAATGTAATATACACGGTAATAAAAAACCTCATCTCATTCGACGTGATTGACCGTGCGACCCTATTTCCTCTGGGTGGTTGTAGGCTGCTCATACAGCATGCCAAATTACTAACTCTTGACAAAGGACCTTCGCTCAAAACGTCGAGTTTCTGCTTGTTTTTTTAAGGTAGTAATATATGTAACCACTCAGCACAGCATGCCAAAATGGCGTCTGTTTATTCTAGAGACAGTGCTTTAGTCTTTGACTTCTCACAGTTGTTTTTCATGTGTTGTGAATGAAAGCAACAGCAGTACAGTTAACATTTTCCTGCGTCTTGAAATGTTTATATATTTATTGTGCTGTCAGATCACTTTTACAGTCACTGGTTCAGGCCGTTTTTATGCTAACTGTAGAACCACATTATCCAATGGACGCATTGTATCTGTCTTCTAAAGTATATTAATCCGACAAATTATCAGAATCATTATGTGTCTGAATGAACTATCAGCTATTGTAAAGAAATATTACATTTTGTATTCGAATGTCCCAATCACCCAAATATATACCAAAAATCGTATTTGTGGGTAGTAGCACTTTAATATTTTCCTAATGTTTATAATTTGGATATAAGTCATTCACAGTTTAGTGTCCAAAACCAAATTTTAGTATCCCGTGGATATTGGGATACTGCAAATTTCAGACTCTGGCTTTCATTGACTAAATATAATCAGTCGTATAATATAACCTTGTTGGCTAAATATAATCAGTCGTTATTCAATATTTTATTAAAGGTAGCAAGTTACAATTGCGTTAAGGCTTGTTTTACACACAATGATTAATCAATTCAGTTTTAATTCAATGATATCCGACAAAAACGCTGTCAATGTCATCTGCCAACATTGTCAACTGACAACATTCGTCGTTAACATTCGCCAAAACCTGAAATCAGCCTGATTAATCTTGTGTGTAAAGATTTCAGTGTTTATTGTTTATATAAGGAACACCCAACTATAAAGTGTTTAATTAATAATTTAACGAAAATATATTGTCGAACTGTTGAACAACTATTTGGCAGAAATTAAGATTATAAACTGACTGTGCTTTGAGTGTTGCTAAAAAATACCACAGTTATTCACAAGAACAGTTCTTACATGGCTGTCAAATCACTGCCACTACTACACAACACTACACGTGCAAATTTCCCTGGAACTTCAACAGTTTCGTACTCACATTTTCATCGTCCCTTTCGGCCCCAGGTTCGTCTTGAGCACATTTTGTAACCCTATAGCAGCACTTGTATTCACTTGCAGAGCCGCCGCGGCTCGAGCAAATTCTGCTTTGGGATTTAAAGTTTGAATCGCTGCCATAATTTCTTTTCAAAAGTTGAAAAATATGAAAAAGATTGTGGCTATTTGGGGACGCTAGGAAGTTGACTAGGGTTAAAACGAACTAATAGGGCTAGAAATGGTACATTCAAGATCACTATATCCATATGTCTATTCGAGTCTATTTTGGTAAATGATGATTTTGTTCGATGCTTTTTAACAAGCGCTTTCTGCATTAAAATATAACATTCTTTTGTAAAATGGACAAAGAAATAAATCATGCAAAGATAAAATCTTGCAATTTTAGGGGAATTTATAGGGAGGTTATTTGCGGTCAGAAGTAAGTTTATATGATCGATAATTTTGTCGCGCCGTTTCCAAGAAAATGTCGACAAAGTGTCGCCACTTATCGAACAATGCTTTTGGAACACAGGTGCACGAAGTCCAAATATATAAAGGATCTTTTCAAAGTATAATGGAGTTTGTCTCTGTTATCAACATTTTGAGCTGTTTTTGTGCTCTCTCGATACTATTCCTTCTCGCTAATGAAATAACAGCAACAGGAGAAGTGGTGTTCGCTGTAAATTGTGGAGGACCGGATCACACTGACTTAAATGGAGTCCATTATCAGGCTGATAAACTGGGCACAGGAACTGCATCTGACTTTGGCAAACAATTAACTATAGGTCGCGTGGCACCTCTCGATCAGATCTTATACCAAACTGAACGTTATCATTTATCAAACTTTGCATATGACATTCCAATCAAGGAAGATGGTGATTATGTTTTGGTGCTGAAATTTAGTGAAGTATATTTTCAAGGACCCAAGCTAAAGGTATAATTATAATTGACTTCATCAGGGACGATTTACTGGGGGGAGGGCTGTTCCCCAGGGGTGTTTGTAATTGCAAACTGTTTGTAATTGCAAAGACGCAATTACAAAAACAAAAGAAATAAAATGGGACATTTGTCAAGCAAGAGTATACAGACCAGTCTCATAGGTGCATAGGGCTGAATGCTTTGCTTTATGGGGGGGGGGGGAGGGGAGGGAGCAGTTGAAAGTTTGCCCAAATTTTATAGAGGGTTGTGTTGAAATAACCTGAAGTTAACATATTTTCTGGTAAACATGCCTGCTTTTTTGGATTTTTCTTAGGATTTGCCTGAATTTCCATGATTTTCTAAAGTGTCTTTTTTTAGGGGGGGAGGAGGTTATCCCCCCTTTCTCATACATGGAATTCAGAATTTAAATCTTCATACTCAAATTAGTCTACCAAAAATTCCACAATATTTGGACGTTACTTTGTGTCATTCCAGAAAATATCCAGATCTCCCCTGGACTGGGGAAATTGGAATTAAAAAAGCCACAAAAGAATGTTTTAATAGAGTGTTGCAGATGGTTTTGTCCAGGATTGTGAACCCAACCCATGCTTGTCATCCTCTTAAAATTTTCACGAATGAAAATTGTCCAACTATGACTTTGCAAATCAATTTTTCTTCCAAAATGCATATTTTGAAGTATCATCTCCTTTAGGTGTTTGATGTGTATGTGAACAACGTATTAGCTGTAAAGCAGCTGGATATTTATGACAAAGTGGGCAAAGGCATTGCACATGATGAACATGTACCATTTACAATTAATAAAGGACAGATTTTGGTTGATACGCAACTCACTCGCTTTCCTGGAAATTTACATGTAGAATTTGTCAAGGTAAGATTATTGTTCATGTCACACTCAGCCCCATTCAATATTTATGAATGAAGTTGGGCAATTATAGAACAGGGTCAGATCTACCGTGGGGGTGCAGTGGTGAACACCCCCTTCCTCCCACCCCTAGAGACCAGTGCAGGGGTGAACACCCCACTCCCAAGTCCAAATACCTTGTCTTGCCAAAAATAATTATCTTTTTGTTGTTTGCTTTGTAGGGTTATGACAACCCCAAGATTAATGCTCTTGTTGTTATGAAAGGCAACTTGGAAGGTTTGTCCAATTTATTTTGTGATCTTATTTGCTTGTTGCATAAATATCAAGGATACATTTACTGTGTAGGGGCCGGGGGACAATTACTTTATCAAATCCAGTTTTAGATTTCAAGCTACGGGTATAGGCCCCTCAACCCTCCCTGTTCTGGGATCTATGCATGGATATTGTTTAAGGCTTTCTATTGAAGTTGAAATGAGGTAATATGGTTAAAAACAACTTGGAAAATCTTGGTTCTTACCATTGTGTTTCTTTCTAGACGTACCTAAATTGCCACCACTGCCGGGTGCCCATGAAGATGAGAACGACACTCCAGATGACGAGGAGAACAAGGCGGAAGATAAACCTGAGCGAACTAGGAAAACATCTGGTCCTAAAGCTACAGATCCTTACGCTTCTGATGAAAGTAGTTTACTTCTCCCTGTTCTAATTGCTTTGGGAGTTTTTATTCCAACTTTATTCTGTCTTTGTAAGTTGTAGAAATTTTAGATAGTGAATACTTGTTGGAACGTTGTCGTCTTAGTTTGTTAGGTAACTTATGCTTTAAAAAAGTTGAGTAGAACTGTAAACAGACGCTTTGCGCGAATAAAATTTGCAGTTGGATTTTTTGGTGTGTAGAAATTTGTTGATTCGGCGCCTTAGACTTGTTTCAGATGGTGTTCAATGACAAATTAGGTAGTACAGAAGAGTGACATAATGTACACTGTGCTCAATATATCTGGAGCAAGAATTCGAGTACAAAAAGTGAAGCCAGCTTAAGCCAGCTTTGTGTCAACCGCGCAGACAAAATTATTGCTGTGTATGCAACGTTCACTGATGTGGCTAAATAAAATATGGTAAAAATTTATCCAATTGTTTTATATAGCCCCGACCTCTATTTAGCCCCTAATTAGCCACTGGTTCAGAATCAATGGAAAAAATAAGCCTCCAGGAGGTTATAGATTTTTATAGAGGAAATATGCTATTTCTGGTGATGAATTTATAACTGTTTTGACACCCGTCGTATCTTATGATCATTGCCACTCGATTTCAAGTCCGCACAATTTGATCAATTTATTCAGTCAGCTAATTTATCATGAATTATTAACGAGATTTGTTGATCCTCTCCAACCATAAGTCAGTTGGTTCAATATTCTGTAAAGCGAAGATTCAAACCAGAGTCCAACAGTCTCTCAACAAAAATGCCTTTGATTGCTCGCACACAAGAACATCCAAATTTTATAGAGATAAAGAACTCTGTCCAATTGTCTTCATTAACTTCAGAGCAGTATAAACATAATTTCAATGAAAAAATCATTTAAACTATCGTTCTTTGTCATTGGAAAGCAATGTACTGTTTAACGTTTGACTATTATTATTTTTACTGAAACTTCTTGTTTGATGATGTACACTGTCTTCGTCCTTGTACGACGTCATGAATGTCTTCATGAATGCAACAACTTGGCGAACTATTGTAATAAACCAGACAAGCTGTACTGTCAACAATCCGAAACAGCTGATGTTACAAAGTAATGGTATTTTGAACGGAACTTGCCATATATAGAGATCCGAGTGTTTGGCGTAGCTGTAGTACATGAACGGAAAGACGAAAATTCGACCAATGAAAAACGAGATTGCTAATAAAAATCCATTTACTTTGAAGATGATATGCTTTTGCATGTCCAGCTAAAATAGATAAATATCTATAAGTCAAGCTATGGAAAGAAAAAACATTGGATAAAACCAATGAACTATACAGAGTGTATAAAAAACTGCCCTGTGCCCCAGCCTGGTACGTTCTGTAATTAAATTCTCACCTTTCGTAGTATTGCATGTACGGATAAAAACGGCGTGCTCATTTCAGCTAAATAAATACAGCCAACAAAGAAATCGCCAAGACCACGTCTGTAAAACTATTAAAACAAACTAGTTTGAGTTCATGTCAACCAGGTAAAATACCTATCATTACCTACTTACCACAATCATTGGAAAACCAAATATTGGCAGAAAGATATGATGTAGTACAATCAACCATTTCTTGGCTAAAAGTCTGTGACAATTTGTAATAAGACTATCATTTGGAAAACTGTGATAACTTTCTAGGAACATTGCTCCGAGATCATAGTAAAAATACGAAAAACCAAACCAAGCATAATAATTGACAGACGAAAACCTAGAAAGGAATTTGAGGAACATCGGTTATTACAAAGATTAACATGTGGCACAGATGAAACAATATTATTTTATAAAATGGAGCAAAGAAACAAGAGAAAATATAATTAAATCTTGTCAGGAGCACTTGGTTATATAGTTACAACATGCAGGGATTCTACCCATTAGTGAAGATGAAATCCAAGGATTTTTCCAGGACTTTCAAGGATTTTTCCAGGACTTTCAAGGACTTTTTTTGGTAACTTTCAAGACCTAGGCAAGCAATTGACCATGATCGTATTACCTGTCTTTCATGACATTGTTACATTTCAAGATAACTTGTAGACCAACACAAGATGCACAGACAGCTTGAAGGAATGAGACCAGCCTGAAATATACGAATAACACAAAATAATGTAAATCCTTGTTTACACTACGCTCAATTTTTGGTACGGCACGGATAAAATTGGTACCCGTACCACTGTTTTGGTTCTTGGAATTTAGGTAGTCCAAGAACCAAAAAAGTGGTACGGTACCAAAAATCGAGCGTCAAACGAAAGCTTGTTCACATTATTGCCACTACCTACATTGGCGCAGGCAGTTCTGCACATTAGTGCCATTATATAGAACAGATCTTTGTTAGCGAGTACAAAGCTACCAACCCTGCAGGGTACGAAACAACCAAGTTTCGGTATGAAACAACCAAGCCTGGGTATGAAACGGCAAGGGTACAAAACAATCATATAAAAAAGTTTAGTAAATGAGCAAACCAGATATAGCCAGACTTTCATAAAGCTACATATCTTTATTCAACGAAAGTTTAAAGTTATATAACTTTGATAACTTCTATACTTTGCTTATTTAATACTGTACATATTTAAGTACCTTGTGCTTATAGCATAATATAAACCTTTTGGTCTACCAGGTATTATTCTTGAAACAAAATATAGGGAAGAACAATGAAGAAATGGAAATACCACACATCCAGTTAGTAACAGAACAAATTCCATAATTATCCATATTCCTCATGAACACTTTGCACAAGTAAAAGCATAGCAAAAACGAGTAATAATTAATAAAACCTTTTCATAAATAATTGTCTTCCCTTCTTTCAAATATATAAATAAAATAGAGTACTTCCGCCACTTCGTATAATAAGAGAATTATGTAATTTTTAAGAAAAATTAGGACACTATCCTTAAAACAAGGAATTTTGCAAGCAACAATTCTGAGCAATGATCTCAGCCAAACTTCTAGTTCAATTCAGGAGTAAGGAATTCCATTTTTCGTAGAATTTTTGCATAATGGACTTGATTACCTTAGATGAATTCCCGAATTTCTTAGTAATTTCTAGTAGTATTTGATAGTTTCAGGAATTTAGAAAATTAAGGAATTACAACGGTCTTGCAAAGGAATTTTGAGCCCAAATTTTTTCTATCTGCGCATGAGCACAAAACAGTGCAGACTTCAACATGGCGGAAAAATAAGGAGTGATATAAAATGTCTGTGCAGTTTTATTCTTAATACCTTTCAATAAAGTCAAGCAATCAAGTAATAAAATATCTGTTATGCGACGAGCAAAGAGTACAGCATCCAGTGGTATAAATTCTGGTGGGAATGCCGTCCCCAAGTTATTAAGGGATCTCCATCAACTTATACATCAAGTTCAGGTGTGTGGGCCAGTGTGGCCAATTTATAGACTTCTCTCATCACACATTGTCCGACCAAATTTTACGTTTTGTTTTATCAAAGCTTTTTTTATGACTGGACATGTGCCCAATTGATTTAGGCTGGTGAAATGTCCAACTTATGAAGAAAAAATGTTGTGTGTTTGAGTGAGGCCAAAAGCTACTGCTGAAAGTAAAGCCTAACTCCGGCAGCAGATTTTATTAATATGAAAATATAAAAAAATACATATTTTCTGCTATCCAGTGCATATCGCTACCCAGCCTTGGTACATGCAACCGGCCCCAGGACTGGTAGATATACTGTATTTACTCTCTTGTGTATTATTGATTGGTGATGATAGCCTGAGCGAAGATAACAGACAACTACGGATTAAGCGGGATACAACTACATTATAAATATAAGCAGTTGAACTTTGACGTTTCGAGCGAAGGCCCTTCATCAGGAGTTAGTGTCAGGTAGTTGTATGTCTTAATCCGTAGCTGTCTTTCAAACTTGTTACCAGACCATTTTTGCCGGCATGTTGTCCCCATAGGAGTAGGAAAGAGAAGGACTCTCCTTTTCTCTTGAACTTCCTATTTAATTTTTACTAAATATATGTTATCTTGATACAGGACGAACGAAACAGAAATGAACATACGTTGATGAATATCTCCAAAACACATGAACGTATGAAATCTGAAGCAAAAGGTAGGATATTTTTTTGGTAAAGTAAAACTGTTCTGTGTGGGACTAATCCTAAGTCTTTGATGTTTATAGTGTCATCGTATTTTAAAAGTAAACTGAAAGGATTATATGGTGCGGCAATTGCAGATTGTGAGGCTGAAGCTGAGTAAGTTTTACACGTCTATTCAATTCTTGGGTTTCAATCGCGTGATGTTTTAGCAAATTTGACTCACCTGAGGCATCAAGTATCCGACTGAGGTCAACTAAAACAACAAAGAAACAAATGGCCGTCAATGCATCTCGAGTGTAAATGAGTCTCACACTATTATATAAAACAATATAAAAGTCGTACTCTACGCTTGATACAGACCCTTGGTCCAAGCAGTCTGACTATTGCAGTCAGCCAATGCAATCTAATGCAGTCCAGTACATTCTATTGTAATCCAATTCAGTCTAATACTGTATAATGGAGGCTAATGCAGCCTATAAACACAAGCTAATACTTCACCCCATGCCAGAAACTTCATTTCAAGTTGCAGCATGTATGAATGAATGAATGAATGAATGAATTTAATTTAATTTGACACCAACATTACAAAAAAAAAAGTGACTTTTATATCTCCATTTCTCATTCTGTTCTGGCGTCTAATGCCATCATGAATGCTTTCTTCTCAGTCTTTTGATTACAATTTTTCTATTTTTCATCTTGACAAGACTTATCCGAAGAGCTACAGATAAAATTGCAAATATTCAAGCACTGACAAATGAAGGTGCTCAAGGTTTGTTGTATATTATACATTCCCTGTTTTCATTTGATGTCGGAAAATCACCAATGATATGTGTCGCGTTTCACAATATTCAGGTATGCAATAACATTCCTAACATCGTGAAATCAACATCTGGGGATGGCGACATCTGATCGGTCTGAGAGAAATTATGCTGAGATTGGCTAATAATAGTTTGGATTTTTAGCAGTAATAAGTGCCTACAGTACTCGCGTTCATACGCGTGTAGAACGCGTTCCAAAATATTTTGACAGGAAAACGTGACACATTTTTTTTGGTTTTGGTAATGGCATAAATATTGGCTTCATATTTTAGGTCGAAGCCATGTAGATGGAAGTGGATTAGATATAGAGCCGAGCAGAAAAGCTGGCATGAGAAGAGGTGTTCTTATGACTATACTTCAACAAAACGCAGCTCAATTACCTATGTTCATGGGAAAAGCCTCCGAGAAGTAATTTTGCTGTTTACAGTATTTTATAAAGTAGTTGGTTATTTGATCCCTACAGTCAAGTAGTTTGATCATACAATCGGGTAGTTTGATCTTTAGCAGTTGTTTTAAAACTTTGCATTTGTTTTGCCGTTTGTCTCTAGTGTACCTCCTCTATGCGGGTCAATTCCTCCTGCAGCAAACTACGCACCAGATCCTGGTGATCATGTAAGTACTATTTAAAACACAACTGCTTTATCAGATATAAAACGAGGCGACATCCAATGGCTTAAAAAAAGGCCCATCTTATGAGTTAATTGCGAAGTAATTTAAAAAATCAACGTTGTATACTTGGTCAAGGTTGCCGCTCGTGTTAGGACTCCTGATGGAGAGGAACAGTGGATTCTGGCTGAAGTTGTCTTATTCAATCCATCCACAAACAAGTATCCTTTTTTCTATGCTCATTTTCATATTCATGTCAATAGCAAAAAGAAATTGTTTGCATGATTAGAGTTGTATTAAATTTACAGAAATGATAAAAATTGAGAGTTCGCTCGAAATGTTCGTTGTTCCCTGCAGTGTCGGTGTGAAACAAAGTTTTTCATATTTCTGGGAATAACAAATGCTACATCTAAATTTTATTATGGTTAGAGCAAAAACTTCGTCTAGATCACTAGGATATATAGCTTTACTGATGTCAGTTTTAACTAAAGGGACACAAGGTTAGCAATGGACACTTCGCTGTGAAAATACTTAATACATAAGCATGGTATTGCATTTCTTAATTGAGTTGAAGATATGACATCGATGATATAGACGAAGAAGGTGGCAACAAAAAGGAGTAAGTAATAAATGCATAATAAATGCATTAAAAAAGGCAATGTGGTCCCAGAAAATTTTGGTAACCAGAAATATATCATAATCAAAATGTTTTCGTGATTCTTGCATTGGGGATTTTGTAGATATTAATACATCGAGACACTTTAACAACAATTTGGAACATTTTGTTTTCTTTCCTTATTCAACAGAAGGCATCATCTGAGCAGACGAAGATTTATTCCACTACCAAAGATGAAAGTAAATCCATCGACGCATAAACACGCTCTATTCCAAAAGCAAGATGTAAGACCGAATTTTATTTCTTTTGAGTTCATAGAGATAGATAATACAAGGCAGAGCTCACAATTTACGTATATGGTAGACTAACTCTGAGCAATCGTGTGCTAAAAGTGAATGTTTTTATTTTCAGCTTGTTCTCGCACTTTATCCTCAGACAACATGTTTTTATCGTGCTCTTATCCATGAACCTCCTTCAAGGGTAAGAAATGACAACTTCACGCTGTGAAAACATCGTGTGCCATGATATAACAATATTGTTACAACCTTGTAACATTCTTGTTATATCATGATTGCATCAGACTTGTTAGGACAACCCTTGTAACAAGTCTGATAATGCCATCAAGCTTGTTCCAAGTTGTTAACAGCTTGTTCCAAACTTGTTACAACTAGGAACAAGCAGTGTGAACAATGAATATTCTGGAACGCTCACTCCAACCGGAAATTTGAAGGCCAGTCTCAGTCTTTTCACGCACGCAAAGAGCGCTCAATCATGATCTAAACACATGGGACACGCGTATCTTGGGGTCAAGATTTGGCTTCAAGAAAAAGATAGGCAGTTTATCTGAAGATGCTGTGTTAAGTGGTTATATTACTACCTTAAAAAACAAGCAGAAATGCGACGTTTCGAGTTAGTAGCGTAACTCTTGACGAAGGGCCTTCGTTCGAAACGTCAAGTTTCTGCTTGTTTATTTCAGGTAGTAATATAACCATGGATAATAAAATAAATGGATAGGACTCTAGCTGACGTAAGCAAAAACAACCTAGTTGCAATCTGTGACGTCACGCGTATTGCAAAGTTCTCGGCATTCTTGTTGTTTCGCTATACTTTCCGCTTTAAAAGAGTAATATTGAAGCATAAACTGGTCTAATTGTTTTAAAAACATGCCTAAGCCACGACAAAGTATTCAAGGTAAATGTTTTTCGTCTTTGTTTTGTATTTTTTTACATTTGTATCTACGAAATTGGCGTCCCCAATTTTAACGAAATTTGGGATGCCTAGCTTTTTCACTGTTTAGTGCTTGAAATATTTGCTAAAATTGACTGGGAATACTTAGAGATTTCATCGTAGAATGGCGTGGTTATATTCATTTGCTCTTTGACTAAAATGTTTAGCTGTATTATTGCTAAACATGCCGTTTTTGAGAATTTGGTTTGCAACTAGGTTTCAACATCCAATCACGCCATCAGCCCATTGAAAACATTAGGTCACGTCAGCTGGTTTCCTATCCATTTATTTTGTTATCCATGGTATAACCACTCAGCACAGCATTTTCACATTCAGTACTACCTACACTGGTACAGACAGTTTTAGTCTATCTGAAGGTAACGTTCCAGTTCTATTCATTTCAATGATGCGAACACAACTAAATGTACTATAAGATGTTTTGTTTTGCAGCCACAGGACGACTACTCCGTATTGTTTGAAGATACTTCGTATCCTGAAGGATATTCACCTCCACTGTGTGTTGCGCAACGATATGTCGTCACGTCAAAAGAAAACAAACGAAGATAAAAATTTTGTAAAAATGTGTAAATAATGTTTCTTTAGGAATAGAGCAAATCGAAAAGAGCGGTGTATGAACATTTATTGTTTTGACTGAAATTTCCACTTGCAGTGGTCGACACTTCAAGATTTTTTTGGGGGTGGATTTAGTTTACCAATATACATGGTGTGTAAAAAGTTATACCAGTAAAGATCACGCTTTCAGCTGTCGAGTGCTACCCTTTTGTATCATTCTCACCAAAAATTAGCCAAATACGAAAGTTCAAGGTTGTACCATCTTTGTAGACAAGTTCATTTGAAAGTTGTATCATCAGAAACTATTTAATGCCGGTCGTAATGCATTTTTCAATGGTTGTGAATAGACTTATGCATAATGACGTCACAAGGCTTGATGCTCGCGAGGAATGCTGGTCATAGTAGTCATCGCCCGGGAAAATTAAACAATTCAAAATGGCCACTATCGAATTTTCCCGGGCGATGACTACTAAGACCAGCATTCCTCGCGGGCATCAAGTCTTGTGACATCATACATAAGGTTTATTGCATGTAAGCTATTGTCTTGGTATTGAAATTGTTCTCATTGAAGTCAATACGGTGCAACTCAGGTGTAAGTATCAAGTTTTGATCAACTTTCACTCGCAATCTTACATCGAAATTGAGTGGCGTTATACAGGGTGTAAATCACCAATAACAATTTAATTGTTAGAAAATAGCACTTTGTTGCTTCCCACCACTGCATAAATGATTGACATAACTCCTAAGTAAATTTTATGCATAAAGAAACTATTTAAGAAGCTGTTTTAAATTCCCAAGAGCCAGAAAATCGCGCACTTTACAAGGAGATGTTCTTAACTAAATTTAATACATGCACTTTGTCAATATTTTACGCATCATTACGTTCAGCTGTTTGCTAGGGCATTCAAATTTTAACAATAAGTGATTTCCCCTAAGTGGGAGTTCAGACAAATAAAGCCTTTTAGCAATAGCCAATGATAACAAAGATTTTTCTAGCTAAGCCAATCAGGGTTGGTAGGTTTGCTGAATAATTAGGCCAAACACAGTCACACAAGGCTTTTCTTTTCTACACGGCACTAATGACGTAACTCGTGAAATTCTGATCAACAGGAAGCCATGGTGTGATATACTCTGTCTAATGCCAGATGATTTTACTCGTCAAGTGAACAGTGCAGCAACACAGTGGGTGAATCAAACTATTTGCCCATGCAACCTGTTAAACCTTAACTGGCAATGCGCCAAGATGCACCCTACTTTATTATTTTACTCTGTCTGATACCAAATGATTTTACTCGTCAGGGGGAGAGTGCTCCAACTCAATGGGATAACCCGACATTCACAGTATCTTTATGCCAGAAAAACGAATGCGCAGTGATTTGCCGTCATCAACTTCGACAAGAAGTTTTAACAATTCAACTAGCTATAAAATATCAACAGTTCACATCAAATTGAGATATAGAACATGATTCGACGTACCTTAATTCCTGTCTTTAACTTTGGATGCTGTGCTTCTTATATTCCACATTAACTTCTGATGTTGCACATTTGCCCCTTTGCATCCTCATAGTATAGCACATATTGACCAAGATATCCACCACAATAATCCACATTTACCCAGGATATCCACCACTATTCTTCAACGATGTGGTAAGGTGGGTCAAATAAATTTTTGGCAGACCGAAAAAATTTTTTCGTCATAGACCAACGTAGAAACGTTCAAAACGCATATTAACGGAGATAGGTTTGGCTCAGGAGAATTTTAAAGCACATTTTCACATGGCTATCATAGCACTGAGCCTTATGCAAATGATTCCTTGCCCGTCTCGATTACTATAAATTACACTACGGTTGCGCGGATTTCGGAGTCAAATAAAGCTAGGCTTGTCACTTAGAAAATTTTTGGCTGATCGAAAAAATTTTTTCGTCATTGACCGACTTAGAAAGGTTCAAAACGGATATTAAGGGAGATAGGTTTGGCTCAGGGGAATTTTAAAGCACATTTTCACATGGCTATCATAGCACTGAAGCGGTATGCAAATGATCCTTGCCCGTTCTTCAATATAAATTACACTACGGTTGGCCGTTGGCCGGATTTCGGAGTCGCGCGCAAAAGACCAGTATAAAAGCGATAGTTTTAAAATTATAGTTTTAAAATTATAGTGCAGACATAAAATTAGAATAAATTTTACTTATCTCATGAATCATGTCTTTTAAATGTTTTCGTTTTATTTCTGGTTGAAGTCCCCGGTCTGTCGATGACTCTCGAAAGAGTTTTATAGCGCCCCCAGGACGGATGAGGTTTTGTCAAAATTTTACCTAGAAGAATCGGATGGATAGTCAATAGTTGGGAGTCGGTGGGGCGGGGTTACTTAAAAGTGACCTATTTCGGAATCAGGCTTTCAACATGTAATCTGGTGTGGGAAACATGGTTTTAAAGAAAAAGTGACTCTGGGAAACAGCATTATGCCAAAAGTGGGGAGGGGGAGTCGGATATTAAATGGAAGGAGGCGCGTTAGGAGGGTAGTAACGGGTTTCCTATATCTAGGGTAGTAACAACGGCTGCGCAGGTGGCTATAGGTAGTGATGACATTGGCGTAAAAAAGTTTTTGTCTGTCCGTGAATAAAAATGAAATCAAGGAAATATAAATCTAAAATATGGTGTTATCGTGTTACATTCTGGAGAGTTTTATTGTATAAGTAAACATAAACTAAAATTACATTTTCGCCATAGGAAACTTGAAGGTTTTGATACCACTTTGCGGGCTCACTGTCACAACCTTTCCTGCCAAGGAATCATCTTCGATGGTTTTAATCACTCCATCCGCCACCATATCAACCCTTAAAAGAAAACAGCCCAAACAAACTATTACAAAGTCGATATCATTCATTTATATACCTCCCTGCTATATTGTATTTGTCAAAGAAGTTTCGTTTGATGACATATGATAAATTTTTATTGTCAGTCTAAAATTACATGTTATCCTTAATGTTGAAGTTGATTAGAAAATAGAAATGTATGCCAACTTCGAAGCACACCTAATCTCTTGTCATCGCAAATCTTTAGATGGTTTTACGGTTGTGAAATTACCAAAAACAACAATGTAAGATTTCCTGAAATGTCAGTAATCTGTAAATAAATAACAATCCAACTTACGTAACAAAACCAACTTTTTGAGTAATATTCCGGAATACTGGTGAAGCAGCAATTGAGTCGTTAACCATGTCGGTACCTTGCACGAACACAGGGCAGATACAATTCACTCTCACTCCCTGCTCTTGGGCAGCCGCCTAAGACAAACGAGTGAAAGTAAAAACTGGACATTCATTGCTTTTTCACATATGTCGTCCTAAATTTTTACTTAAAACGTGAATGTGCTCCCATATGCAGTGACTCAAAACTAAAATCAAATTTAGGAGAAAATTTACTCAAAGTTTCGAATTCACTTACTTGTTGGAGTAAGGATTTCTTTACTACAAAAAATGAGTAAATTTGCTTATCAATTTGAGTCACTGCAGTTAAATTTTTGAGTCCAAATTTTTAGCAGACGTGTACTTTGTACAGTACATTGTACCGGACATGAAAATTTTTGCCTTCAGTCTGCAGGGGGGGTCAAAAAAGTTTTTAATCCTTATTTTCCCCATTTCCCAACCCCCCCCTCCCCATAAATAATGACTACTCCCTTATGACATCAAAGGGGCCCCTGGGAAAGTTTTAAGATGTTATATGCCCTAGGAAAATTTTGCCCTGGTTACGATAAGCCCTAAAAAATTTGTCTGAGATAAAACTTGGCAAGGAGAATTTATTCAAATTTGCAAAAGGATCAAGAAAACAAAATCTTACCTTAAAACATCTTGTGAATGCCACAACACCTGCTTTGGTTGCTGTGTATACTGGCCCAAGTGAGAGAGGAATAAGACCTTTAAAAACAACATTAAATCAATTGTTTAAATGTTGCGTGAGAACAGGCATCGATAAAATGCGCGAGCGTCGCCGCTCGCAGGCACCTTTTACATTTTTGTAGGCACATTTTAAAATACTGACATTTTAACAATATTTAGGTCACAAAATCTAAATAAGATGTGTTTTTGCAGGCACATTTTGAATTTCGCTCGCAGGCACAAAAAATGTTATCGAGGCCTGTGTGAGAACTTATTAAACACAAGACTCGACGTATTACATACGATGTACAATTCTTGACGTAGAAAGACTCTACGTACGACATAGAATTACTCTTTGATATACACTAGGAAACAAAGGCTTGTGGAAAAAATTGAGTTTTCTCAGCTCCCTAGAAACTGTGGAGAGCCACCTTAAGTGGGCATCATTGTAGTTAAGTTGTTGCACCCAGAGTATACAATGGTGAAATGTTGCTTTGTGACACTAAAAACCTCCAGAAATATATACAGAAAGGTCGTCATTTTATAACTTCATTTTCCAGTCTGAGCAAAAAAGTAAACACTCACCAGACATGGATGCAATATTAATAATTGCACCTCCTTCATTCCCAGAATTTTTGTCCATCATATCAATACCAAGCATTGTACCTCTTATGACAGATTTCTGAAAAAAAATGAATTTCAAATGAGAACAGGGCCAGTAGCTTAGAGTGACTACATTTAAATACATGACGTGATTAAATAAAAGGAATGAGCTCCACAGGCTTTATAATTTTGACTTTGTGAACTGATATGAAATCCTTCTATACACAAAGGTCAACTTACCAGATTAATGTCAACACCTATGTCACAATCATTGCTCATAGTACCAGCATTGTTTACAACGATATCAAGTCCATTAAACCTTCTTCTCACATTATGAAACGCATCTATATATAAAATTAGATTTTACAAACAATCAATTTAATTTCTCAAAATAAAATAGAAAAAATGCTACAATAGTGTATTTACAACACACAGTTCTATTTATTTCTAAACTCGATAACCGGAAGCCGGATAATACTTCAAAATGTGGACAATACTTCACTGTTCAATCCAGCCGAAATGAGCAGAATAATTTGCATAAAAATATTTGATAAATGGTTGTTAATTTATTCACCTGTGAGTTGACTTTTATTTGAGACATCACAATGAGTATAATATGCCATATCATTGCCAAATTCATTTTTTAATTTATTTTCCAGTTCCTTACCAGCCACATCATTGATGTCCAGTACAGCAACCTGACAAGGTATATATACCATGTTATTACTTATCCTTGGCCCTAGGACTTATTTTCAGATACACTTGAGAGGGGTCTTGGAGATGAGTTACCTACTACGGGTAAGCCACGTACAGTAGTAAACTATTATGTGCAAACTTTTTGGCTGTTTAGTTCTGCTAGGAGGTTTCGTTTTCATCCGAGTTTCTATGTCTGTTGGTGTGTGTGCAGGGCTCAAAAATAGCGGCCTAGCTGCCAATGGCCGCATAGTTCAGAAATGGCAAGAGAAAAAAAAATTGACCTGCCAAGTCAAAAATAACATGACAGGCAATTTGCAGTTTACCATTTTTGATAGTTTGCCATCATACGTGAGTGAGCAGTTCAAAAATAGAATTGGCAGACCATCATTTATTTGACCTGCCAAAAAAAATAAATTTGGCAGACCATATGTTTTTCCTGTTTGGAGCCCTGTGTATGTGTTGTGCGACCAACGAACAAATTGATTAAATTTTATTTCAATCTCAAGTCACAGAATAGATACCAGACCAGAAGGGACACTTCTATGTGTTTTGGCTGAAAGAAAACGTCCAAAATTTTTTACGTGCTATGACGCCATCCTGGAGTGCACACAGCATTTTGTACCTATGTTTTCCTATGCGGAAAACTTCCGTGTGCATGGCCAGGATGGCGTCATATGATGGCATATTTTCACGTCAGCACTCGTGAAATTTCGGACAAAATATCGTCTGAGTGACACTTCTGGTCCAGTATCTATTCTGTGCTCAAGTATCAAGTTCATGTTTTCTTGCGTCTCATTGGATGAGAGCGTCACATGAAAGTCACAAAATTCTACTGTCTCCTAGCAACAGCTCTGAGAGATGGACTTTAAATAATTTACTTTTATCCACCAGTGAATAAAAGAAAAAATTTCCCATTTCTTTTGGGGATTTTTTGTTTTGTTTGACACTTAGTTGACTTATATAATTATACTTGACTTAAATCTGGACTGTCTGGACTCTGAAAACAGTATGTTTTGTGGACATGCTGCATTAAAGGGGTCATGCTTTCTTCATGTAAAAAACCCAGTTATTTACATAATGGACTGTGTTATTTTACAACCCATGTTCACACGAAATATTAAATATTTAAATACAAAATTAGTCATTTTAATTAGATGCTAATTTGGGCTACTAGGAGTCTAGTTACTAACCTTCGCATTTTTCCGAAGTAAAGCATAAACAATTCCTCTGCCTATTCCCTGGCAACCTCCGGTAACAATTGCAGCACAACCATTAATTTTCATTATGATACAGTATCCTTTCTTGCTATCTTTTTCTAGTTTTAAAATTTTTTTAATTAAATCGACTACTGTAACCTGCGATCAGGCCCTCGAAATTGGAAACGAGGGCTGATATGCCCAGTATGCCTGTTCGCGGGTTATGTAGTGCCGCCAGTGAGTATGGGAGGTGAAAATGCCTAAAATGACAGAGGTTTTTCAATTATAATATGATATATTTAGGGGGGACCTTCTTTTTGTGTGGTGTTTATATTGATAATTACTACAGATTATTGATAGCCCTTACTTAGAAACTATCACTAGGTCAAATATTCATTGCAACTGCTGTCATTAAAACAGAACCATTTCGAGTTTGGATTTCTTGAGAACGAAACATGATGACCACCTCGCCAGTGTGACTCACGCCAGTGTGACTCTGACAAAGAAAGTGACATGTGATTTCAGTTGAAGAAACTTTAATTAATGTGGTAAAACATTTATTATGCATGTGGGCGTTCATTGGAGGGCATGGCATCACATCGTAAGTTCTGAGTTTGATTACCCCTTTCACCGCCTCTTTAACTTTAGACGTTTCTCGCGTGCCATCGCATAAGTCATACGACAACAGGGTAATAGGGTTATAGGGATGGAAACATGAATTGCCCCCCCCCCCTCCTCCCATATTTCGCGAAGTGTCCGGTTTGGAAATGGCATTAGACTCTATGAAAGAAATTAATGATTGTATGTAATTTAATTATATTTAAGAAAGTATTCCACCTATGTCTTGCTTAGAAACACTGTCTTTAAGACTTAACACATCTTCATTGTAAGTTTAGCAGCAAATGTACGCTCTACAAACATTTAAATAACTAGGAATATGTGTTATACCCTATATACAACAATATTATCGTTAGATACATTATTAATTCAAGAACAGTCGCATGAAAGTTGCAATTAAAAATTACTCTGTAAAAGCCAGTGAACTCTAAAAAGACTGGAACGCCATGCATGTAGGTATGAAGACATATTAGAGTTCACTGGTAAAACCACGTATTCAGTGAACACAAGAACAAATTCTGACCAATTAGGGGTTTGGTCAAAGAATGCTACAATATCTACCCTATACAACGTTCATGGGACCATTTCATCAGTATTATACCGGGTGTCCCCAAAGAAACCTATACACTGTTTCATTTTTGACATAAATATGCGATTTTTTACAACTAAAGCGATTTATCCATGCAGCTATTTATGCAAATTTTTACCATTGCCAAAAATGCTTGTTCGATTTAAAACATTGATATCTCAGATTCTCAGCTAATACTGCATAAAAATCCTCGTGTAACATTACTAACATATCAAAATTTAAGTCAGCTCTTTCTGGATACGACACACCTTATTTGATCTTGATAGCTGTTTTAGTTTTTCTGCCATATTAAATCAAACAGTGTAGGTTTTTTGGACATCTGGTATATACAAAAGGCTGTTGCGGTATATCGATAAATATCGGGCTTCGTAAATTATCGGTTATTCGATATTTGGTTTTTCGATATTTTGAATAACATTTGGTCAGAAATGGGAACCACTGATTGTTTTTGTGCAGTGACTTTCAATGGTTAATAGTATCGATATGATATTTTCTGTGTTGGTCGATATTCTATTATCGATTTTTATTATCGATATTCTATTTTTTAGATAGATAGATTCGATTTTTTAGATAGAATTTTACAATACCGCAACAGCCTAATTATATATACACAATACATATTCAATATGTCAAATTTCTTCATTGAAGAACACAAGCTTTCCTTATTTCATTATCAATTTCATCCTCGTCATTGGAGCAATCTGGATTACGATCTTGGATATCAGGCTGAAAATGTTTATAGTCCATGCCAACACGCTCGTAAAACAATAAATACGGAGATTCTTTCTCAACTCGCTCAGGACATGTTTCCTACAAGACAATATGTCACAAGTAATTAAGACAATATGTCAAAGTAATTAAGACAATATGTCACAAGTAATCAAGACAATATGTCACAAGTAATTAAGACAATATGTCACAAGTAATCAAGACAATATGTCACAAGTAATCAAGACAATATGTCACAAGTAATTAAGACAATATGTCACAAGTAATCAAGACAATATGTCACAAGTAATCAAGACAATATGTCACAAGTAATTAAGACAATATGTCACAAGTAATCAAGACAATATGTCACAAGTAATCAAGACAATATGTCACAAGTAATTAAGACAATATGTCACAAGTAATCAATAATTAATAATAATAATAATAATAATTTAATAATTTATAAAGCGCTTTTTACATGTAATGATCAAAAGCGCTGCATTACAATATAACTAATGTTAAAAGCGTATTAAAATGTTGAAATGTTAACTTTAATATAAACTAAATACTAAAAGCTAGTTTAAAAAGATGAGTCTTAAGACAAGTTTTAAAAACGTTTATTGACGAAATGTCACGAATTTCTTTCGGAAGTTCATTCCAAAGTTTCGGAGCTGCCATAGTGAAAGATCGGTCGCCAAATGACCGTAAAAATTTACCCTTAGGGAACTCTAGCATTATGCTATCATTAGAGCGTAAAAGGTAGTTTCCTTCCACTTTAACAACGAGTAGATCTACTATGTACTTTGGAGCCATTCCATGTAAAGCTTTAAAAGTAAGCAATAGCAGTTTAAAATGGATCCTGAACTTCACAGGTAACCAGTGTAGTTCACGTAATATAGGTGTAATGTGATCGTATTTTCGTGTTGAAGTCACTAATCTTGCAGCGGCGTTTCGAACCCTCTGCAACTTAATCAGTTCAGTATTTGGTAAACCATACAGGAGACCATTACAATAATCTTGTCGACTTGTAACAAAGGCGTGTATAACAGTCAACAGATTTTCCCGAGATAAAAACTTGCTGATGCGTTTGATGTTGTGAAGCCAATAGAATGCGGCTCCACATGTCTTTGTTATATGACATGACATTGATAAATTTGAATCAAGCCAAACTCCTAGATCACGAGCTATTCATGGTACAGGAAGGACATCAGCATTCCCGACACGTACATGGCATGGGTTAAGTTTCTGCAGTTGCTGCTTAGATCCAATTATTAACAGTTCAGTTTTACCGTCATTTAGTTTCAATTTATCTTGAATCATCCATTTCCGAAGATCGTTGACACAGCTTTCCATTACCGAAATCGCTTCACATTGATCGCATGGGTAGTCAGGTTTGAATGACACATACAACTGAGTGTCATCAGCAAAACCATGTAAATCCGGCGAGTGATTGTTAATAATATCGAACAGTTTGGAGGCATATAATATAAAAAGAAGAGGCCCCAAACACGAACCCTGCGGGACACCAAAGTTCAAATCAGATGAATCAGAAAGGGTACCATTTAGCATAGCACGTTGACTTCGACCAGACAAATAGGAAGAAAACCAACTGAGAACTGTTCCACGTATTCCAAATTTTGACCTTAACCGTTCCAGCAAAATTCCATGATCAATTGTGCCAAAAGCGGAACTTAGGTCCAGAAGAACCAAGAGAGTGACACGTTGACTGTTCATGCTCAACAAAATGTCATTGAGTACTTTGAGTAACGCAGTCTCTGTGGAGTGATACCGCCGATAAGCAGATTGCAAAACTGGATAAAAGCCACATCGAAGGATATGATCGTGCGTTTGATTATATACTGCTCGTTCAATAAGCTTTGAAATATATGCTAAATTACTGATGGGACGAAGATTTTCAAAAGCGGACTCCAGCCCAGACTTTATTAATATGGGAAGAATAATAGCTTCCTTCCAGTCTCTAGGAAAGTGCCCAGTTTCAAGTGAGATATTGATTATTTTTGTAATCACAGGAAGTAACACATCCAGACATTTCACCAAGAAATCTGTTGGCACTGGATCAAGGTAACATGATTTTTTGTGCGAGTCCACAACAAGCTTTCTAACATCATCCTCAGACAAGGGCTCGAACGCATCAAAATGCGACACATCACCCGGATACTCCTCATTGTCATCACTTGGAGGATCTACGTGACCATCATTATTTGAAGAAATCTCGTTGTTTATCTCAGAGTGGATATTAGAGATTTTCTGAACAAAATATTTGCCAAGTTCGTTAACGAGAGCTGTTTCATTACGTCCGGGGAAACTTATTGCATTTTTTTCAACCAGCATTCCTTTGATAGCTTTGAATAGAGTCCCTTGGTTATTGCTGTTTTCTTTGACAAAATCAGAGAAAAAGGAGCATTTTGCTTTCCTCATTAATTGAGTACAATGGTTTTTCAATGATTTAAATTTATTAAAATCTGCCGTCGTTTTTGTAGTCCGCCATTTCCGCTCCGCTTTCCTTCTTTCCTTCTTTGCAAGTTTGATTTCCTCGTCATACCATGGCACCATAGCCCTAGAGGTAACAATTCTCCTCTTCAGCGGAGCGTGGCGATCCAGAACAGAAGATAATGTATTATTATAGCAGCTTACCAAGGAATCAAGTTGTGTAGGAGCATCCAGGCATAGTTTTGATTCACCCAGGTCTTTCATAAAACTAGTAATATTTATAGATTTCAATGATCTGTAAGTTACACATTTCTTTGAAGGAAGTGGTTTGGAAGAATTAAGCCCAAATGAGATAGCCATGTGATCAGAGAAAAGGTGGTCCGGACGAGGGGGTGATCCCAAAATAGGGTCCACCTCTCGAGTAATTACCAGGTCAAGAGTGTTTCCAGAAACATGTGTAGAAAATTCGACATGTTGCTGTAAACCCATGGACAATAGCAGATCGACAAACTTCAGACTATCACCGTCTGTTTTTGAATTCACATGAATATTAAAATCACCCGTGATAATAAGTGGATCCGTCGACATTATAATAGTCTCCAAGTACTGCGAAAATTCAACAATAAATGCATTCACGGTTACCGGGTGATTTGTAGAATATGGTGGTCTATAAATGACGACAAAATGTACACGAAAGGATCCAGAAACGATCTTCCACTCAGAGTATTCAAAGGAATTTAAGACACCAGCTGCAAGCTTGGTTGTACACAGAGTATCACGAAAAACTATCGCTGTTCCTCCTCCAGTCCTGTCAGGGCGTGGATGATCACAGAGTTTATAACCAGATGGGGTAGCCTCAATTTTTGCAGCAGTGTCAATTGGTGTAAACCATGTCTCAGTGACAGCAACAACATCAGGTTTACAATCAAGTACATAGTCAACAAAGTCAACAGATTTATTTCGCAACGACTGGGCATTTAAAACACAACATTTCATTAAAGTTTGTCTCACATTATTTCTGTTATTGTTGACATCGGCCAAGGTCATCACCGGAATTTGGATCAAATTACAGTTAATGTCATTATTATTTATTGACGCATTATTTCCGAGACATAATCTAGGTATTGATGCCAATCGGTTTGGTTGAATATTGGAACCGGGCAAAAACCCTGCCTGTCAGACATTTGCTTTCTATACAATTTTCGGCTACGAGTAGTCTTTCGTTTAAGAGGCCACCGCGTAGTAATTCGGGTTGGAATACTTTGAAAGTTTGTTTCATCATATATCTTATCGATCTGGTTTCCGACCAGAGCAGTCGAATTATGTTTAGGGACTATGTTTACAGGAGGCCGCCGAGTAGTAATTCGGGTTGAAATACTTTGAATTCGGGGTGAAATACTTTGAAAATTTGTTTTATCACATATCTCGTCAGTCTGGTTACAGACATCTAATGGTATTGCATCTTGTTTTGATGAGCCAGAACAGGAATTCAGTATTATGCATGACTGATTGGAACGGCTATTTTCTGTAGCTCTGTCTAGTATTTCAATGGGTGGCGTGTTCTCTGGGGAAAACTCAACAACATTAGCATCGTTAATTTGGTTGTTTACAGTTAAATCTATTGTACTAGAGGCTTTGTCTAATATTTCGATGTGTGGCATGTTGTCCGGGGAAGATTCAACAACACTATCAACGTCATTAATTTGATTGTTTACGGTTAAATCTATTGTACTAGTGGCTTTTTCATAACAAAGCTTTTCCCGCGTAGAGTGGCCCATGTCAGCCATATTAGAATATTCAAATGTGGGTGAAGAACGATCCTTGTGTTGATTGTTTAAGAAATATGTCTCTGCCTCACGACAATTATCAAGTTGTTGACTAACTTTTCCGAATTCCTCTGTTAACTTATTTAAGCGGGCTTCAACATTTTCAATAGTAAATTTGTTATTACCAATGTCCCTCTCAGCAATTGCTATGTCCAATTTAACGCCCTCCATTTCAACAGATAGCTCGCTCGTTCTACAATGGGAAACGCTACTTAGATTATTCGCAGCACCAGCTTCCTCGAGCGATATGCCAGAATTGCATATTATTGAACATAACTTAGCATTTATCTGGTTCTTCCCTTTACCTTCTATTCGCAGAACTTTATTGCCTTTACGCCACGATATTGAAGTGTCGCCATCGCTATATTTTTTCTTGTCTCCGCCTGGCGAGACCCATACGCCATTTAACTCTATGTTATCGCTCACAAACTGCTTCAATTGTTCAATATTACCCATCCAGCACAGGTGAAGTTCTCCCATTTGATTATCCGAGCTTTTATATTGCAGTATTATACAATCTTATAACACAGAATTGAAAAAATTGCGGAGCATAAAACATACGCATAAAACATATATAAATATATATATATATATATATATATATATATATATATATATATATATATATATATATATATATATATATATATATATATATATATATATATATATATATATATATATATATATATATAAAATAGAATATGACTGTCTATAAACAACAAGCAGTGTTATTTTTAAGTTTACGTTTTTATATTGATGGGGGCCGGGGGGAGGGGATTAAGTAAAAACAAAAAAGTAAACTACAATATTAAAACAGTAGCTAAAGCAGATCCTTTGTAAATGATGTCCTATACACTGCGTGGAAATGAACGTAATCTTGATTGATTGAT